ACGCTGATCGGTCTGCGCAGCGCCGATGCATCTCGAACAAGCCTAGAGACAGTAGGCCAATGCAAAGTCATGCAATGTTCGTATAATTGATCACATTTCTCATTATATGCAATGTGGTTTTAATATTATTTACATATCATTATAGAATGTATTCATATTTTGAATTTCCTTAATATTTTGAATATCTTTTATTTTTATATTTTGTTAGTTTTCACTTTAATTTTAGTTTGTTTTAGTCATAGACATAATAAATACCTAGACGCCTCATTGGCCGCTCGACCGTTCTGTTTTTATTATTGTGTGACGGTTTGTAGATGCCCAAGCTGCCGACGAGTCAGGTATGTTTTCTTCTGTCCCGATATGAGAGTTGCCGCTAGTAAGCTGTGAAAGCTGAGACTTTATATGAAATCAAAGTTTAAATTAAATCTTAAGTTTTAACTTTTATATTGCAGTTTATATCATAAAGTAAATGGTGTTATGAACACAATATGTACAGTGAGCACTTTGACAAGACAATGCCAGACTGTCAGGATTAGGGACGGAGCTAAAGCATCTCTCTTTCATTTCACTAACGTTACTTATTTACAAGGAGTAAGTTTATCATCACTTGATTATAAGGATTTCATAGCTTATCATAAATCTGTGGACTTATTATATATATATTTTTTTTTTCCTTTTTAGCCAATTGCAAACAGGACAACTTAAGCCTTAGGGAAAGCTGAAGAAAGTCTGTTCTCTGCATTTCCAAGAGAGTATTGACTGCACTGTATCAGTGCATAATATTTTACCACTGTAACTGTAAGTTTTACTGGATCCATAAAGGATTATCAGTTGCATTTGTTATTGTTTGTTGTGGAGTTTATCTGTATAGAGTGCTATCAAAATATAAAGCAGACTACCAAGAGTGTCACTTTTTGATTTGTATTCGCTGGTTTTATTCAATTTTCTCAATGATGGTAAATTATTAGTGCTTAAAGATGTATTTTTTTTATTTTCTTCCAGTATTTCAAAGGGAATGAGCTGTGTTCTGACCTGAAGCACAAGAAAAGCTAAAATGTTGGGGTTGAAGACAGAGAAAGCAATGAAACAACTTAATTTCATTTAATGTACATTCAAATTACAAAACATGTATATGTCACAGTTATACTACATAGGGTTATTTTTAACTCCATGTAGATCACAAACCTCTGAAATCGGTTGATAAATGTAAACATATCGTGTTTTTATCCAGAAAAAAACGCAGCTCCCCCATTTACCTCCATTTATTTTTAAGGCAGTCTTGCCTTCACAAACATGGCGGACGCATTGACGTATCGCAGCAATGGCTCAAAGCGGCCAATGAGGTGTCTAGGTATTTATTATGTCTATGGTTTTAGTCATGTGCTTTTGTCAATTTTATTTTTAAATAGGTAAATAGTTAAACTATTCATCTTTATTTTTATTTAAGTTTTAGTTTTACTAAATGAAGTATTTCAACCTAAACTTATTTCAGTTAGTTGCCAAGGCAAAATTTCAAATTTTCGTTATTTCAGCTTCATCTTAATTAGGCTACAAAGATGATTTTTAATAGTATCCGTTTTAGTTAACAATAACAACACTGATTCTATGTAGAGTCAATTAAAATGTATAAAAAAAATGATATTTAACATTAAATTTTTTGTGTACATACATATAGGCATATAGCACATAAAACCAACATGAATATAAAATAACCTTTCTAAGAACATCCTTGACCCACATGGTCAAAAGTGGTTTTGCTGGTTGTGACATTATTAGGCCTGTCACAATAACAACTTTTTGTTGTGCGATGCGCAAGTGGAATGTACAAAACATAGTGACATTAATTTAAGTAAATATAATGGGCGATATATTGCGTCACTAAAAATGATTGAGGTCATGTACATATATTGCGCGATAAGTCGATATATTGATTATTGCGACAGGCCTAGACATTATGTCATTTATATGCAAGTGTTAGAAATTAGGAAATTCTAAACACACACACAATATAAGACACTAATATTAATAACGCACATATCTAAACAAAACATATTTAATTGAACATAAGTGTCCCACTTTTCAGGTTTCTCCATTGTTTATCTTTTAGGATTGATTGCCACATCACCATGATGTTTCTGCTGTGTGTCTTTGTGTTTCTTTCGTCTAATAAAGAAGAATGATGCAAGGGCAAGAAATATTCCAACAGTGATCAGCTCTCCTCCCTTTTAGGGTTGATTGCCACATCACCATGATGTTTCTGCTGAGTGTCTTTGTGTTTCTTTCGGCTAATAAAGATGAATGATGCAAGGGCAAGAAATATTCCAGCAGTGATCAGCTCTCCTCCAGCCATGTAAAAAATCAGTTCATAGTTCTTGTACTTATCCACCAAATAACCTGTGGAAAAAAATACATGAAAGGAAAAAAAAAAAGATTACATTTACCAATTTATTATAAAAATTACCGTTTCATAATGGACGATTCAATCTAATACAGGTTTTCATCATTACTCACCAGCAGAGGGAGGTCCAATCAGTACAGCCAACCACTGCCTCAACAAGGAGCCCTAGGCCAAGGGCACTGGAAAAACGTCTCAGGTTACTTATGTAACCATGGTTCCCTGCAATTTAAAGGGGTCATATGATGTTGCTAAAAAGAGCATTATTTTGTGTATTTGGTGTAATGCAATGTGTTTATGCGGTTTAAGGATCAAAAAACACATTATTTTCCACATAATGTACATTATTGTTGCTCCACTATGCCCCGCCTTTCTGAAACGTGTCGATTTTTTACAAAGCTCATCGGTCTGAAAAGCGAGGTGTGCTGTGATTGTCCAGCTATCCAGTGCGTTGTGATTGGACGAATGCCTCAAGCGTGTGGCGTAAATGTTACGCCCCTTACCATATTGTGATGCTGTCTCCCAGCAGGACGAAACAAAACCAATAAAACCCATTACAAAAACGTACTTACAGGCTGAGTCAGAAGCACCAGACTGTCCTTGCAAAGTTGGAACTGCCCAACTTTATATAAACAGCCTTTGTGCCACTGAAGCACTGTAGGCTACTGGTTCAGGAAACTCATCTTCCATAAAATGCGCAGCACACATCTGAATATTTGGGTTGAACTGTTCTGGAACAGTGTTGTAAATACAACTTAACCACTGATTTCTAGTCGTGTCCTCTTTTGGAAGGCCAAACAAAGTAGTTTCACTTTCACAACGAAACACACAGCGACTCCACAACATGACAGCGGCGGCAACAGCAAGAATTAAAGTTACGCCTTCTTTCTTTGCGTGAACATTTGGGCGGCGTTATGCAAATCTTCCCACATCGTGACGTAGACATGTGGGGGCGTGTTAGAATGAGCCGTTTTAGGTGGGCGTGGTTGACTCTTAACTTTCATAAAGAATATCGCTTTGGATTTGAGACTTTAGTCTTTGCAACTTTACAGATCTTCTTTATGCACCAAGAGCTTGTAACACTCCAAAGAGAAAGGAAAAATTGAAATCGCATCATATGACCCCTTTAAACAAAAGAACCCAGCATGTGTTCTGTTCAATATTTAACCAGCGATGGGTTGCCAAATAACCCAGAAATGGTTGTTTTTAACCCAGCATTGAGAGTGTAGATAAATAAACATAAAAATCAGCTTGAGAACAATTATTTGATTGTTTTTAAGTTACTCGAATCACAAGTAATTGTCTTACCTGGCTTTTGAAATAGCAAAAAATCTCTTCAGGCAGCTGTATGATCTACCTGGCCTTCTTAGTAGACATAATGTATATAATCTAGATACATAAGGCACTAAGTCTTGTCATCAAGCAAGCCCCATTGCACGGTAACGTTACATATGAATTACTTTAAAGCATAATCTGCTAAATAAACTGCTGGTGCACCTCCTTCCTTTCCTTGTACTTCCTGCTAATAATCTGTAATTAATCTGTCTACAAGTCTCTTATTTATAGGTAATGAGGTGAAATTCCCGGACAGCACAAGTGCTATTACAGAATTCTTGTTTGGTTGTTTACTTGTTGTGTCAGTACAATAACTTGCACAATGCATTTTCATTCATTCATTCAAAAAAAAAAAAAAACACAGAATCATTACACTGATAAAAGTAGTTTGGATCTGTTTAAAAAGAAACAAATGTGATACAATAACAAGTGTTCTTTTATTGGTTTGGAAATATGAAGTTTAACAGCAAAATATTAAATGAAATGTTTTGACAGGTCAAACTACATAATAGGAAAACTTGGAAATAATGCTCTATTTTGCAAATAACACTTCGGCATAAAATTTGTACAACATTTATTATAATTAAAATGTATTCAATTTATTATTATTGAAAAAAAAAAAGAAAAGAAAAATGCCGGATCTAGAGTTTGCTACCCTAGGTGTGCGTTTTCACACTCCATATGAAAATCCTCTTAAATCAGCATGTACATGTTTAAACCTTTACATCTCTTGACTAATCTTACTGTTGAACCAAAGAAAGAGTGTAATTGTTTTCTGTTATTTGAATGCACATTCAGATCTACAATGCAGAAAGGTTTTGGGACTGTCATGTAAGAGCACTTACTGGGGCCAAAGAAATGAAGATTTGTTATAACTGGCTATAAGACAAGTTATTGTATTCTAAACACATTATAAGTGAGCTTTAGCTGATTTTATGTAACCTGATAACATTTTGTTTAATTCAGCAGATGTTTTTTTTGACAATGGTAGTTTTGAAGGTATTTTCTACACAATATGATGTTTTAAGGCAAAATAAACAGAAAATTCCAAAAACAAATGCTAACATAAAGATGACCTGAAATTATTAATTGAAACTGACAAAAAAAAATCTGTTGGCAAAATAAACAGAAAATTCCAAAAACAAATGCTAACATAAAGATGACCTGAAATTATTAATTGAAACTGACAAAAAAAAATCAGGTTTTTTTTCATATAATTGGCAAAAAACACAAAATACAACTGTGTAATATGTTAGTGATAATTAATTATCGTCTTAAAATAGTTACACCAGTTTCATTGTAAAATCCATATACTGTATATACAGTACAAGTAAAAAAGACTGAATCCCCTTTATTTCCTTTCATCATTTCTTTCTCCTAGAATTACTCCTCACATCTTCAAGTTCCTTCTGTATTAGATGTGTTTCTGCCGTTGACTCTGAAAGCTTAAGGGAAAAAAGTTAAATCACTTTGCAGTTTGCACAATGAAATTTATAACTGTATAAAGATTTAGCCTACGTATTTTTCAAGCTATTGTGGCTTTGAGCATTACATACATTCAACACTCACCATATCAAGAAGAACCTCAATCTTTAGCCTGAGGAGATTATTCTCCTCTTCTAGCTGCAGATTCCTTTTCTTCAGTCGCTGTACCTCTTTTCCTGCTACATTACCTCCTGACTCTGTGATTGACAAAGACATTCATTACATTCCTCAAACAGGCTAACTACATTACATTTAATTGGTCTTTTTATTGTAGGAGGCCATACCTGAGATCCACTGGCCATCTTCAAATTTCAAGCTCTGGCCACCAATATTCATCACCGGAGATCCATATTCCAGACCTAATTCAATCTCTCGTGTTGACCGATCCAGCTGATAAAAACAATAAATGATTTGGCCTTTAAATACATATTATATAATGTGAAATGCACCTTACTAACAGAAACTTGTACTTACTGTATGTAAATTAGAAAGGGATGCAGACTTCCGGGGTGGTGTTTTCTTGGGACTGAAAATGTTGCCAAACAAGGGCATTTTGGAGTGAATAGTCAGACTTTCCAACCTGCATCAACATGACATATTTCAATGGTCTTTTCGGCATTAATCACTGTAGCCAACATATAATGACAGACAGTGTCCACATCAGGCTAATTACAGTTGTCCAGTTAAGCAAACCAAAGGCAATTATTCTTGATTTCAAAATGGCAGTCAAATAAGGCGATAATATGGCAATAAGATAACATAAAATAAGCTAAAATAATAATAATAAGGTGATTACCGTTATCTTCGAGGGACTAGTTACTAAGCAAGTAACAGGCAAGAAGCTAGTTATAAATGCATATTCTTCAATATATCGATAGATAGCAGATTTAAAAAAAATAAATGCATGTACAACGAAAACAAAAAACTTACACCGCTGCTTTAGTTTCTCCTCACGGCTGCTTCGATGATGCCCAAGAAATGTGTAAACAAACGGCTAATTCCGGAGGAGCCTAGCAACGCCGGAAGTTCTTATTCTTCTTCTGATGTTTATTGGCGGTTTTGGCAAACCAACTTAAAGGTGCATTACCGCCACCTACTGATCTGGAGTGTGGAGTGAACAGATTTGGTAGAGAGAGGGACGTTTAAAAAAATAATAAAAAAATTAGACCACAATTACAATTTATATTCTTTCCATATTTCCTGTCTTTTTTAGACAATTGAACACTTCTTCTTTAATTCTTGATTGCATTTGTCTATTCCCTAGTAATATCTTGAGTGATACTTTATCATGTCCCATCAAACCTAATTTATGATTAAGTTGATTTCTTTCTCTTTCACACGCATCACATTCTAGAAGAATGTGCTTTACTGTTTCTGGATTCCCACATTTATCACATCTTCCATTTTCATGCTTCCCTATTTTGTGTAAATTGAAATTTAAAGCTGAATGTCCAATCCTCATTCTTGCTATAATAACATCTTTCTTCCTACTCCCACATCTTATTGTCTCTTCACCTACACACCCCTGTATCTGGGAAAGATGCCTTCCCTTCTTGTTATAATAACATCTTTCTTCCTACTCCCACATCTTATTCTCTCTTCACCTACACACCCCTGTATCTGGTAAAGATGCCTTCCTTTTATTCCACTATCCCATAACTTTTGCCATATCTTTCTTACTTCAATTGATATAATTCTCTTGATTTCAGATTTGCTAATTGCTATATTAATTTCACTATGTGAGTGCTTCAGAGCCATCTTAGCCAAGCCGTCCACTTCCTCATTTCCCTCCACCCCAGTATGAGCTGGTACCCATAGGAAGTATACCATTATCCTTGATTGTCTAATTCTAAACAAGTACTGTAATACTTCATATATTAAATCTTGCCGTGCTCTTCTTCTTCTTCTTTTGTGTTTAATGGCGGTTGGCAAACCAGCTTAAGGTGCATTTCCGCCACCTACTGGGATGGAGTGTGAGGCCTCGATGAACGCACATATTATATACTACTAATATAAAAAAAAATAATAATAAAAAAAATAAAAATAGATTCTTCTAATCAAATCTGTATCTCTCAGATATTTTAGAAGAAAATCATAAACCCTTAGATGTTTCTGTGCATTCTGAAATATATTCATAACTGAAATGTCATTGATTTCCATATCTCTTAGTTTTTCAGCAAGTTGCTTTCTTTGTCTATTATATGCCTCACAATGTAAGAGCACATGTTCAACTGTTTCTGTTATTCCACAGTAACTGCAGCTATCTGACTCACTTTTTCCTATTATATGCAATGAATAATTAAGGTTAGAGTGTCCTATACGGATCCTGGTTATAACAGTATCTTCTCTTCTGTTTCCATATACCTTTCTTTCAATCCCCACTTTCTGTTGAATACTAAATAAGTGTCTCCCTTTTGACTCTTTATTCCATACGTCTTGCCACATACTTCCAACTGCTGTTTTAATAATACCTTTTACTTCTGTTTTACTTAAAGGAATTTCTATGTCAATCTCTTCGTTTCTCAATGCTGACTTGGCCAGCTTATCCACCCCCTCATTTCCTTCTACACCTACATGGGCAGGTGTCCATAAAAACTCTACTCTTACTCCTGTTTGGTTTATTCTATATGAATTCTGTAAAATTTAATAAAGTATATCCTGTCTAGATGCTGATTTCCCACTATTTGAACTGTTTAATACTGAATATGAATCTGAACAAACTACAACTCCACTTATTTACCCATTTTTCCACTTCATTAACTGCTTTCTGCATACTACTTTCCACAAATACTAAATTTCTTCCCCTTTTCCACAAGGCACCATCATCCGCATATAAAGATTTACCAAATCCTTGTCCAATCATTGAAAATATGTCATTTATCATTATGTTAAATAAAACTGGGCTACACACCCTTCCTTGTGGGGTCCCGTTATCTGTTGAGTAAGTCCTAGAATAACTTGTTCCGACCCTTACTTGCATGGTCCTCGCCAGAAGTTCTTCTTCTTCTGTGGATTTTAATGGCGGGTCGCATACCAGCTTTTTAGGTGCATACCGCCACCCCCTGTGCTAGAGTGTGAAGTGATATTAGTCTAAGTGCATAATTTTTTCTATTATGAGATTTATATTCTATTCTTAAGTCCACTGTTCTTAATGAATTTTAAAACTGTCTTTATTATTTTACCAGATCTTTGTTTTGTGTTTAATATGTTGCAGATTGTAATTTCACGGCATCATATATTCTGTAGTTCTCGACTTTCAGTCCTTTCCTGTTCATACCTAACAACACATGATCAACAATTTCCTTCACTTGGCATATTTCACATAATCCTGTACTGTGCTTTCTTATTTCGGGAAGTGTAGAATTAAGTTTTGTATGGCCCATCCTTAGTCTTGTTAAAATGATCTGATCTTCTCTACTTAAGTTTAGTATCATTTTACTTTGTCTTACCCTGTTTTGTATATTATAAAAATGTCTTCCTGTTTTATAGTCATTCCAATTTCCTTGCCATTTCTGATTGCAATCTTCTTTAATTATACTTTTTCCCTCAATCCTACTTACTGAAACTGAAATAGTAGGAGTGTTAAGTTTAAGTGACTCTTTAGCCATTTTATCAGATTTTAATTCGCTGGTATATCAACATGTGCTGGTTCCCAAACAAAATTAACTATTATTCCAGCTTGTCTTAATCTATATAATATATTCATTATTTCTATGAAGATATCATATCTGTTTGAAATGTTGGAAGGCTGGTTAGGGATGCCATTGAATTTGAACAAATTACAACCTTATTCGGCATCACTTCTTCTACCCAAACAAAGTGCCATCTGAATTGCCACCATTTCTGCAGTATACTGTATACTGAAGTCCCATCCATTAATCTCCCATATTTTAAATTCTGGAACATAGAATGCAGATCCAGTACGACCTATCTCTTGGTTTCTTGAGCCATCTGTGTATATTGGAAGAAATGCATCATAAACTGTTCTGATGTATTCTGTTGTATAGTTCTTGATAATAATGTCATTCTGTTCTTTTTCAATACATTCATGAATTTGTAAATCAACTTCAGGTTGACTGAAAAACCAAGGAGGTATTGGGGAAATTGTGACTGTTGATGAAAATACGCAGGAAGTTCAATTTTAAAAGTAAGTTAAAAGTACATTTCAAAAAAATAAACTGAAATATGAGACATTTCAAGCCTATTTTAACTTGGGGGTGAATTGTAGAGAAAAAAAAAACAGCACAAATCGCACCACTGTTATGATTAAGTATTATGCTTTGACCCTTCTTGAGAAGCCTTCCATGCATAAGGTTAAATCTGGACATATTCATGTCAGGGCAGCCCTCTGACACTCTCTAAAATTTCAAATAATTTAATTAATTAGCCTTCCATGCATAAGGTTAAATCTGGACATATTCATGTCAGGGCAGCCCTCTGACACTCTAAAATTTCAAATAATAATAATAACAATAATATTCCTGTGATATTTCTCAGTTCACTTATAAAGTACATAGAAATTGACATTTAGAGGCATATAGTTCAGTTGCTTTGTAAAACTTTGGGGCTCTTCCACTTTCATTAGACATAATGTAACACAAATCATTTTGAACACTTAATGACATGCTGAAAGAGCTCCAGTCTGTGAATAATATATTAATGTGGGCCCTGTCGCATTTTTACTACACAAGATGAATCATTTTGGAGATGTAATCATTTTAAATCACTAAACATGTTGGGAAAATATATATTGCAAATACTTGGAAAATAACTACATCTTTTTTAAAGCTATTAGCTATGATAGATGGCTATGAAAATCTTTATGTATTTATTTCCTTCTGTTGATGTGATACAGTCTCAGCTACTGTTATTATTTAGTATTTAGTCAAAAAAAGATACATTATTTATTTAGTTGATTTATGCTTTCCTATCATTTAAAAGCTACAAAAATTCTAATATAGATATATAATAATGCTATAATATCCATATAAACAGTTGTTCTCCAAACCAGAGACATTTGTATCTAAATTAAATTAACAGGCAGACAATAAACTTATTTTTAATAAAAAAAAGATAGAGTTTTGGGTTTGCTTTATGAAAGAGTTGCCAAGTTATTGTAAAGGAAGTCACCCATGCCCTAGTGGCTGAATGCTCCTCTTGAAAAAGAAGAAAAAAAATCTCCATCTCTCTGCCTTTAGGACCTCACAGCCTGGACGCTTTAGTTCAACTGAGCTCTACTTGGGGGAAACGACTCAAGTCGCACGTGTTCTGTCCGTTGATTTGGGGCAGGCGATTTAATTATTAAAAGTATGATTTTGAAGGAATAAAACACCCAAACCTTTTACCTGATCGTTAAAGGGATTTATTGCTTTAACAAACAGTTCCTGGTGGAAGAGAAGATCTTAAATCTTAGGTGGGTTGAATGTCCTTATACGGTTCTGTTTTAGCTGGACTTCTGAAATGAAGACTAACTTGTATTTAGAATTTTAATAACCAAACCGCTCTAGTGTTTACTTTATTGTCTGGTGCTTTATTCCAGGCTTTAAACGCGTCCTCGCTGCAGCAGTTCGCGAAATGTAGATTGCTAATTGGCTACCAGGAGAATGTTAAAGAGATTTTTATACGATATTTTGTAGAAAAAGGTCCGTTAGAATTTAATTATAAAATATTAGACTCTATGAATATGTTTTGGATGTTTGTTGGAACTGTTTTGTGTCGGCACATAAAACTCATCATTGATATTAATTGGTGTAAACAAACCTGAAGTTGACAGCATTAGCGGGCTAGCCGAGCGCTAGCTAGCATTAAAGCTAATGCTAACCCGAAGCCTGTGCAAGTTAACTTTCTCATTAGTGTGTTTTTCTACTGGCACTACCTTTCAGCGTTAAGTCGGTAAAATGTTATATATTCTAAATTATATTGAGCAGTGTTTAAAGTACGACTAAAGGATTGCTGGTATTTGTTTTTGATTTCTCAAGTCCGGAGAGAGTTGCTTTAGTGGGTGTTTTTCCTAGGCGAGCCCGGGGATGTGATCGGAGTTGCTTATCTCAAAGTTTAGGCCTTAGAGATAATATATCTGTAATATCTACTGTTTGTGCATATAATTATGTGTTAAATTACTTAATTGTG